ATATATATATATATCACTATTCTAGGGCCAATACTGGATTGTGATTTCTTTTTGGAAACAGGTTTATCAGTTCTCAGTTTGGTTTAGATTATTCAAACCCTGAACAGGAAAAAATAAGGCACAGGTGTTCCTATGACTAAGTGAAGCAGGCTTTTTACTCCATTTCTTGGGTGTACCATTGAATTTTCATAGAACCTTGGGGATAGGAATGACCTTGGAAATTATTTTTAAACTTTTTGGTTTACAGATGAGAAAATAAAGACCAGAGAGGGTAAATGCTTTGTCCACAAAACACAGCAGGACTTCTGGCCCCCACATCAGGACTCTTTCTTAGTTGATATTTTATCCCCGTTTATTCCCGCCCAATAGGTGTTTTTACAAAGCTGTACCATTTACATAAAGTATCTTCTTCTCCCCTTAACACTTCATCATCCCAAGGAGGTATAATAGGCACTTTTCTCAAAAGTATCTTGATTAGAAAGATGGGGTTAACTTACAGAAGGATATGGAAAGATATGACTCACAAACCAACACCTGCTGGGAAAATTCTTTCTACCAAAAACAGTTCAGTGTCTTTTCCCCATGCGTCGGAAACATTTCACACATTTAGAAGTAGAAACCAATTGTCCTATCAGGCTCAGGATTTGAATAAATTCTTATTGCCATATGCAGATAGGACCAAAGAAGGGTGTGCAGACTTCTCTGAAGTTAAACAAGAATTTGGAATTGATTCAATTGTTGATGTAGCATTGGCCAAGCCAACTGTTGGTGGCAGCGGGAATGGCACCAGGTGTGAGACTGGTGGGGTGAGACTGGACCTGAGTTCAGCAGCCTTGGTACTTGAGTTCTGGCTAGGAAAGAATTCAAAGCCAAGACTCAGACTATAAGAGAACATTTATTTGGAAAATCACGGGGGTAGAAGTAATTTGTAAAAGAAATGGCCTTAGAAACAAATAGAGGCAAAGGAAGGGCCCTTGGAGCTTAGAAGTGAGGAAGGTAAAGGTGAGGCTCCTGGATGATGCGGGAAAGGGAAAGGTGCAGGAGTGCTCCCAGGAGGGAGCGGGCTGGGTCCTCCTCCTAAGGGTTTTAAGGTGGAGATTTTAGGGGAGGTCCCAGGGGAAGATCTCAATAGAATATTCAGCAGCTTTCAAGGTGTGTC